CTGTCGAGCTTCTTTCCTGTTAGTTCAGGAGTGAGGCAAGGCTGTGTCCTTGCACCAACTCTTTTCAACACTTGCATGGACTGGATACTGGGCAGAGCTACTGTTCAAAGTCATTGTGGGGCAACGCTGGGCAATATCAAGGTTACAGACCTTGACTTTGCTGATGACGTTGCCATTCTATCTGAGTCTTTGGAAACCCTAGTGGTGGCTCTCAATGCATTTAGCAATGAAGCGAAGCCCCTGGGTCTAGAGGTCTCCTGGACCAAGACCAAGGTCCAGGAATTTGGGGACTTGATAGGAGAACCTGTTCAGTCGGTACGTGCTTGCAGCGAGGACATTGAAGTCACAGAGAGCTTTACATACCTTGGTAGTGTAGTTCATAACTCTGGGCTGTCAGACTATGAAGTCAGCAGACGGATTGGCCTGGCAGCAGGGGTCATGAACTCTCTCAACAAGAGTATTTGGAGATGTCGGTACCTGTGCAGAAGGACCAAGCTACGGGTTTTCAAGGCCCTGATAATGCCAGTTTTGCTATACGGTAGCGAAACCTGGACATTGTCCTGTGCCTTGGAGGCTCGTCTTGAAGCCTTTTGCAACAGGTCCTTGCGCCAGATCATGGGGTACTGTTGGCGGGACCATGTGTCCAACCAACGGTTGCACCGTGACACTGGCAGAAGCCCTGTTATCTGCACAATCCGTGATCGCCAACTCAGGCTATACGGCCACCTGGCTCGCTTTCCTCAGGATGATCCTGCCCATCAGGTCGTCTCTATTCGAGACAACCCTGGATGGAGGAGGCCTGTGGGACGACCGAGGAAGTCATGGCTTGGGCAGATCGACCAAACCTGCCGTGAAGAACTAGAGATGGGCCGAGTCCCTGCCTGGCGTCTAGCCATGAGGGATCCTCGTAGGTGGAAGCGAAGGTGGATGCGGCTATGCGCCCCCGGCGGCGTCAGCCCCCATGATGATGATGATGATGATATATAATATATATATATATATATATATATATATATATATATTATATATATATATATATATATGTGTGTGTGTGTGTGTGTTGTGTGTAGTAAATTATCTATCTATCTATATATATATATATATATATATATATATATATATATATATATACATGTGTATATATATGTATATATATATATATATATATATATATATATATATATATACATGTGTATATATATAGCGACAGATGTACAGATAGACATATAGATATATACCACACACACACACACACACACATATGTGTGTGTGTCTAATTTTAAAACAAAAGGAATGACCAGAGTCCCCTTCTCACCCCCCCCCCCCCCCGCAGGGCGACAGCGGCGGACCCCTCAACTACCTCGGCCGCGACGGCAGGTACTACGTGGTGGGCGTGGTCTCCTTCGCCGTGGACTGCGCCCGCCCGGAATTCCCCGGCGTCTACACCCGAGTCACGAGCTACCTGGACTGGCTGCTCCCCGTCCTGGAGTCGACGTAGATGGGCGGCGGCGAGGGCGTCGTCTGGGGGGACTCTGCCGGTGGACCTGCGTCGATTCGGCGGCGTGCGAGAAGGACTTTTCATAGATAAGGGCTGATGAAGGCGCTGGGAGGGGAGGCATAGACGGAAAAGTAGTTTTTGTATAAGCGGAGCGACACAGCAGATTAGGACATATTTGCCTACATGCTTCTGTATGTACACACACACGTATCCACAGACGCTCACACACACTCACACTTACACAATTGCCCACACACATACACATACACGCATACACGCACGCTCACAAGTACGCACGCACACACATTTAACGCTGCTATTTTTTGCTCCTCAAAGGAATTTCGGTTTGCGTTCTAATAAACGTTCTCTTCCTTATTGTTTTTATTTTAAAAAAAGTAAAATGTTGATGGTGCTTTTACTTAGTCCTATTTTATAGACACTGCGACGTTGCTGCTTGGTTAACCACGAGCAGTTGTATCTGTTATGTTCTGTTATTTTGTGCAGTCAGTTCGGGCATTGTTGGAGGGACGGCTGCCTGCACGAAGAACAAACTCTGCATCCGCTTTTTCTTTCCTATTTGTTCTTCTTGTTCATGGACCGCGCTTGTACATTCATTACACATACACGAACTCACACACACACACACACACACACACACTCGAACACACACACTCGAACACACACACACACATACACACACACACACACACACACACACACACACACACACACATATATATATATTATATATATATATATATATATATATATATATATGAACACACAAACAATATAAATGTTTATGTATACGTATGTATATATATACACACACCACACACACACACACACACACACACACACACACACATATATTATATATATATATATATATATATATATATATAATACATATATATATATATATATATATATATTTGTGTGTGTGTGTGTGTGTGTGTGTGTGTAGTGTGTGTGTGTGTGTGTGTGCATGTGTATACACACACATACTACACACACACACATACACACATACACACCACACACACACACACACAAACACACACACACACACACACACACATATATATATATATATATATATATATATATATATATATATATATATATATATATATATATATATATCAGGCAGGGACTCGGCCCATCTCTAGTTCTTCACGGCAGGTTTGGTCGATCTGCCCAAGCCACGACTTCCTAGGTCGTCCCACAGGCCTCCTCCACCCAGGGTTGCCTCGAACAGAGACGACCTGATGTGCAGGATCAGCCTGAGGAAAGCGAGCCAGGTGGCCATATAGCCTGAGTTGGCGATCACGGATTGTGCAGATAACAGGTCCTGTTCCAGTCTCATGGTGCAACCGTTGGTTGGACACATGGTCCCGCCAACAGGACCCCATGATCCGGCGCAAGGACCTATTACAAAAGGCTTTAAGACGAGCCTCCAAGGCACAGGACAATGTCCAGGTTTTGCTACCGTATAGCAAAACTGGTATTATCAGTGCTTTGAAAACCCGTAGCTTGGTCCTTCTGCACAGGTACCGACATCTCCAAATACTCTTGTTGAGAGAGTTCATGACCCCTGTTGCCAGGCCAATCTGTCTGCTAACTTCATGGTCTGACAGCCCAGAGTTATGAACTACATTACTAAGGTATGTAAAGCTCTCCATGACTTCAATGTCCTCGCCACAAGCACGTACCGACTGAACAGGTTCTCCTAACAAGTCCCCAAATTCCTGGACCCAAGGGTTTCGCTTCATTGCTAAATGCATCCAGAGCCGCCACTAGGGTTTCCAAAGACTCAGATGGAATGGCAACGTCATCAGCAAAGTCAAGGTCTGTAACCTTGATATTGCCCAGTGTTGCTCCACAATGACTTTGAACAGTAGCTCTGCCCAGTATCCAGTCCATGCAAGAGTTGGTGCAAGAACACAGCCATGTCTCACTCCTGAACTAACAGGAAAGAAGCTCGACAGGCCCCCACCACACTTTACAGCACTTTCAGTACCAGTATACAGGCTTGCTATTAGTCCAATGATCCTTGTTGGAATTGCTCTCAGTCTCAGAATCTCCCAGATATATATATATATATATATATATATATATATATATATATATATATATATATATATATATATATATATATATATGATATACATACACACACACACACACACACACACACACACACACACACACATATATATAATATATATATATATATATATATATATATTATATATATATATATATATATGTGTGTGTGTGTGTGTGTGTGTGTGTGTGTGTGTGTGTGTGATACATAGATACATATATACATGCATACATGCATACACACACCCCTCATACATAAATATACAGATAGCAGGACACACCTGCACTGCCCTGAATATCGCCCGAGAGAGAAAGGGGGCGGGCGGGTTGGCGGGCGACCAAACCCTTCCTAGTCCAGAGAAGAGTCCCGCTCCACTCCCCGCGTAGTCTCGCCCGCTTGGCCAACCACGCGCCAACCGGGAGGAATTTGGGTAACTGATGCGTGATACTGTCAGGTTGGGTACTGGTCTATGTTGTTATGTGGATAATGACGATTATAGGATGGATTTGGATGGATATGGATATGTAATGGGTATAAGAGGAAGTGAGTATGAAGTATTTTTTTAATCGATATTGGTACATATAGATATAAGAGATATGGTAGATATGGATGAATAAAGATGTGGATTAAGTAAAAAATATGGACATAGACATGGGATATAAATAAAATAGACATTTATAGATGTAGATATAGGAGAGATGGAAAACGTAGTATAGATATACGCGAGAAACATTATAATGCAAACAGCTTTAGTCTTTCAAAAGCGCCATAGAATGATTACCTTAAAAGAAAGAACTGGACAAAATATAATTTTCCTGTCTCAGCTTCTTATATATATATATGTATATATATATATATATATATATATATATATATATATATATATATATATATATATGATAGATAGATAGATAGATAGATAGATAGATAGATAGATAGATAGATATAGATATAGATATAGATATAGATATACATACACACACACACACACACACACACACACACACACACACACACACACACACACACACACACACACACACACACACACATATATATATATATATATATATATATATATATATATATATATATATATATATATATATAAACTGTATATAAAAACATACGTAGAGGATTACCTCTGGAAGGAAATGACAGTCGGTCCCTACAGACTGTTTTTTCGTTTCATAATTCAAGAGTCGGACGTGGTTGTGGTACATAGTATTCTCTACGTTGAGGTCTTCTCCCTTTTCTTGTTTTTCTATGTCTTCTTCGTCTATTTTTCTTCCGCTTACTCTGATTCTACTTCCACTTCCGCATCTGCTTCTTGGTCTTTTTATTATTGTATCTTTTTTTTTTCTTCTAATTCTTCGTCTTCATATTTTTTCCTTCTTCATCTTTTTCTTCTTCTTCAAATTATTCTTCATTTTTTTCTTCTTCTCATTCCTTTTGGTGTCTGCTTTTATCTCTTCTGCGCCTTCACTGTGTCTCCGTATCATCATTATTATGCATCATGTTTCCACGGACCGAATGACCTTCTCAATGATCCTCGAATTAGAAAACGAACTAAAACAGGACAACGATAATAATGATGATAATCAAATTACGGAAAACATGAGAACAAGGATAAAAATAATATGAATAAGAACACAATGAAAGAAGAAAATGAAAAAATTGCATAGCGGAGGCATCTATCAAAATACAACACACTATTTCCTCAACAAGCAAAGCCCCTTACAAAGACCTGTCATTAACTACAGGAGACAGAGGCACACCACCACAGGATGAGTCAAACGTGACGCGAACGTACACCTACAAAGAGGAAAAAAATATATATACATCCCCATAAACGTTGGCAACTCCTATCCGTTCAGAGAGGGAGGGAGAGAGAGCCAACTTCACTCGACGGCAGACAGGTGGTGGGAGAAGGTTGATCGTTCAGCTGGTTCCTCGCTTCACAGGTAAGAAATGGAGTGCTGAGGCGTGTGTGTGTCTGTGCGTGTGTGTGTGTGTGTGTGTGTGTTGTGTGTGTGTGTGTGTGTGTGTGTGTGTGTGTGTGTGTGTGTGTGTGTGTGTGTGTGTGTGTGTGTGTGTGTGTGTGTGTGCGTGCGTGTGTGTGTGTGTCTGTCTGTCGTGCGTGTGTGTGCATCTGCGTGTGTGTATTTGTGTCTGCATCTATGTGTGTATGTGTGTGACTACGTCTGCGTGTGTGTGTGACTTTGTATCCGCTATGTATAAAAAGGTGTAAGTAATTTGCCATCTTTACAGTTCAGGAGAGATAACTAAGACGTTTCGATCGTCTTGATCAAAATTACTTGTGAATTGTAATTCTGAAGAAAAACCCGAAACGCAATAATTATATCTCTTGTGTTTGCTTATTTTGATTTTTTCCTTTATCTCCGTTTGTTACAATGTCTTGTGCACGTGTGTGGAAGTCCATAGCTTTAGGAACTTCTCTGAGGGAATCAACGTGATCGCGGCAGAAGGCTCGACACTCCGAACGACAAAAAACGTCGCCTTGCATCTGCCGGACCAAGTATCAGGTTCCAATATGATTTAGTTTGTTCGTCAGCGTAAGAAGGTTAATGAATCCTTTTTATATATTTAATTCTCTTTTAGTGTCTAATCGCGATGGCAAGCCTTTTTAGTGTTCATAGTATTAAGTCGCAGAAACCGCTGGAATAAAACCATCTAGGAGAATGTTAATTTGCTACCCGTTTCTACTTGGTAGTCGGAAGGTACGTCTAACCTTGAGCAATGTCCCTTATGCCTACTGTTGTAGTATTCTTTTCTACTGTTATTGAAGCACAGCTTGAGTAGATTTCGACGTGTATATGTTCATGTTAGGATACTCCACTGATCGCGTTCTATACTAACGAATTTATTTACATAACTGTCATTTCATCATGGTGAATTAAGGTGACTGGCCACTTGACACGTGACAGCGTTAGCCTTTTTTCTGACTGGGCGGCGTCAACCAGTCTAGGAAAGATTTGGCTGTCGGGAATTATTCGTTCGTTTACAGTCTGCTTCAGAACAAAAAAAATATAGGCGAGACAGTTTGAAGGAATTCGTTCTAGGTTTCATCTTCATCTATGTCTGTATGCATCATATATATATATATATATATATATATATATATATATATATATATATATATATATATATATATATATATATTCGTTGACCAAAAACTAAGAAATTAGATGGCCTTCAAAGGTAGCCCTTTTATGTATTTGAAGTGATACCACCTTTGCATGCATGAGTAACGCCAGATATTTACAGTATGAACTACAACTTTGTTCTAAGCAATGGTATTTTATCGACAATCCGACAACACATTCAGTGAGCCTATAATAAGTAAGAGATACACTGAATTGATAAAAGAAATTAACCACACATTGAGACAGTCAGTCAATCAGTCTAATGGACTGTCAGTTTATCAGATAGAGAATACTAAGCTACTAACTCACTACCTATAAGTCCCTCAGTCATTGAGTCAGTCAGATAGTCAGTATATAAATCAGTCATATGTCTAAAACAATGAATAAATCTGTAAGATAGCCAGTAAGTTGTCAATTCTGTTCAATCAGCCAAACAATGATAATCAATCAGTCAGTAAATCGTTTAAATCTGTTCTGTAATTCAGTCCCTGTCAGTCAGTCAGTCAGTAAGTCACCCAGCCAGTCTAGTCAGTCTAGATTCAGTCTAGTGAGTGAGTGAGTGAATGAGTCAGTTTGTCAGTTAGCCGGTCAGTCAGTCAATTTAGTCAGTCAGTCAATCAGTCACTATATCAGCAGCCAGTTAGTAAGTCAGTCAGTCAGTGTCGGCAGCTACTGTCACCATGAATATATTGTGGACATCGAATTGAACAGTATGCTCTATAAAA